GGGCGGGCGCGGGTGAGAGCGCGGCGCTCCCTGCCGGCGGGCGGGTGCGGGCCGCGAGGCGCCATGGGCCGAGGAGCCAGCCGAGCTGGCGACCTGACTCACTTCAAAGTATGAAGCTGTTTGTCAAAGTTCACAGTTATTTAACTTGATTTCCTGCAAGACATCCAGCAGATGGACGAGCAGCATGAGTTTCATTTCCAACAAACTCAAAAAACGTCTGCTAGGGCACTTGTAAGACAGTGACATTATTTGAACCGCTTATATGGAATAGTCATAGTACAATGGAAAAATGGATTGGAAAACGGAGATAGGCGAGGCTGCTACTACCGTAGTTAAGATTTACTTAGAATTGTGAGTTTATTGAGAGATACTTATTGGACACAGTCCCTACCCTGCCTGGGGGAATTCGCAGCCTACTGGAAGACTGTTAAACAAGCAGAAACAACAGTGAATGTACACAGAATGCCCGCTTGTTTAAGCACTTGGAGGGTTCTCACAGCGTGGTGGGGTACTTTAGGACTGTGATATTTGCTTCCCGTGATTATTTAGTCTTATATTCTTGACATGCACAACTCCCTACATCTTGGACATCCTAAGATTACTTCCTCTGATTACCTAAGGTATCTATCAGTGCTCTGTGTTAGCTTTCCCTTACTTTGACAAAATACTTAAGACAGTCAAAAAGGAGAAAAGGATTATTTTGGCTCATGGTTTCATCCATGGTTGTTCATTCACCCTGTTGCTTTGAGCCTGTCATTGCCCAGTCTAACCTGATAGGAGTCATAGTGGCTGAGGTCTTTTCACCTCATGGCACGTGGAATGCACCCGGAAAGACAGAAAGGTAATAATCACCTGCTGTCCCGTGTAAGCACATGCCCTGGTCTCCTTTCTTCATTCTAGTAGGATTGGTCTCTTACTATGTCCACACCTCTCAGTGATGCCATGGGCTGAGGACCACACCTTCTCAACCCAGGCCTTTCGGGGTTTTATATATATCAAGCTTTATAAATAGGACATACACACAAAAAAATATAAAATTTGTATCTGTATAGTTTACATAACTGATAAGTTGATAGTTTATAAAGTTTATATATAAATAGATGTTTACTTTTACTCTTTCCTTCTCTTTTCCCAAAGATATATTTTTTCTTATAAAGAAATTGATCTCTCTGAAATATATATTTTTAGCAGTATTTGAAATGAAATAAGATTACAGAAAACACTTGTTGAGTTACTTGGTAGAGTTCAGTTGTGTACCAAATATTTTTGGAAAATCCATTTCCAGCCATTGTGCTTGGTGTATAATGATGAGATACAAAAGTGAGTAAAGGGCGATTATAACTCTGCAGTAACCCCGGATCTAGTAGGAAATTGGACCTCTGTTTACTGCAGAGGCCTCAAAATAGAATTGGGTGATTTAGCGTAGTGATGGCAAGTGCTTTAGAGCTTTCAGTGATAACTAACAGCCGGCTGTAGCATATTTGTGTAGGTTTGCCATGACTGATTTTGGGGCATATTTTCAAGTTTCAGTGCAGTAAAGCTTTTGTTATATGTGTACTGCAGGATGTATAGAAAAGTTTGAAAAACATTGAATTTTTGAGACTGAAGAAAATAGGAAGACAAATCTCCTAAAGCTTTTAAAGAACATGGCTGTAAAATAAACTTTGCTAAGGTTAAATTTTTTTTGCCAACTTTAAAAATTTTACTTAAGTTATACAGCATCAAAATGGGCATATTCAAATATTTTTATATGCATTTGATGTCCTTCAGAAGTCCTTAAAGACATAGTAGGAATAAGAATTGGAAGATAAGAAGATGTGTATTTATCCAATTATTATTATTTCAAAGACTGTGCCAGTCTTTAACTTTGTTAGAAAAGCATATGTAATATGTATATATGTTAAGTATATTGTCCTTTTTTCTTAGATTTCACATGATTGGCTTCTTTTTTAGATGGACACATACAGGACATTACAAGAATGGATCAGAGGGTGCACCTAACCCGAATTATTTTGTGAGTGGAAGATTGGGGAAAGATCAGAAAAGTCTTAGAAGTCACTTCTGGGCTGGGGAGATGGCTCAGTGGAATAAGTGCTTCCCTGGCAAGCGCAAGGGCCTGAGCTCAATCCCTGGTTTCAAAAAAAAAAAAAAAAAAAAAAAAAAAAAAGAGTCACTTCTAAGGTTAGAAGCATATTGAAAAAGAACAGTTTGAGTTCTGATATTTAGAATTTGATTAGGGACTAGATAGGGGGTAGGGGAGTATTAAGGAAGGAATGCGTTCCTGGTAGAGTGTTTTGCAGGAGGAGTGGTGAGGTTATAGGCTGCCAATCAGTGGGAGTGGTGCTGAGGAGGATGAGGTAAGCAATGTCAGGGAGTTTGGGCCTAATGCTCTGGAACTGGATGAGCTAGTTGTTGAAGTATTTTTATGTTTGAATGATGGTGGCAAGTTGGACTTCTACAGGTAGGTTTTTTTTTTTTTTTTTTTTTTTTTTTTTTTTGTGGAACCAGGGATTGAACTCAGGCCCTTGTGCTTGCCAGGGAAGCACTTAATCTACTGAGCCATCTCCCCAGCCCCTTTCTACAGGTAGTTTTCAACTGGGCAATTTATACTTTATTTTGCTAAGTAAATCAAACCAGGTGGTAAAAGGCTTGACTGAAAAGGGTTAGCTCCTCATTGCAGAAAAATATTAGGAATCCTCATTATACTTTTATGTTTTCTGTGGATATTGTAGTTATAAACCTTTTGGAAATCATTTGTTTAAGGGGAGAAACAGCAAGAAGAACATGCACACGAACTATCTCAGACCTGAGGTTAGTTTTTCTTTCCTTAGACATTTCTTCCAAGAAAAGCACAGAGTTGTAAGGGTATACAAAACTATACTCACAAGTTTAGTATCCACTTAAGGACCAGTAGCCATCTACCAGGGATATACCATCCTAGGTATTTTATATATGTTATTATTTCTCACAACAACTCTACTGTTGATGGTATTCTTGGACTTTATTTTACAATTTTATTTTTCATGATTTAAGAGTTTGATGTAACAGGAACTCTCCTGGTGGA